CCTATTTTCATAGGGCTTTCCTTCATGGAAATTAAATTGGGATAGTATCAACAAATATTCTAAATGATGCTTGTATGGATGACTTCAAAATCAAGAAAAATTTATCTATTAGAGCAAGGTCAAATGGATGTTGCAGTAACTTTTAGAGGTGTCAAATGATCTCCTTAGCTTGTGTGATACCCCAAGAACACAATGCAACTTTTGGTTTGCTTTGAAACTATCTCAAACTATCTAACCAAGTTCACTTATAAGGGTCAATGAGAACGAGTTGGATGGAGAAATTGAGGTGTTCTAGATGCAAACTAATGCATTCAGAAGTGTATATGTGGTGTATGGATGGTGTTTGAGTGATTAGATTGAGAAATGCACGAGCAAAATGAGAGTTTGATGTTTAAGGTTTGGAAGCTTGCAACAATGGAGTTTTTGGTGCAATTGATGTGTGTTTAGTTTTGAGGCATTGAAAGGTATTTATAGAGGTTTCAAATGGTCTAAGTAACTTGCAGAAATCATGTTTAGTTCATATGGAAGGCTGATTTGCTTAATTGGTTTCAATTTGCATAAAAATGCATGTTTTTTCATGATGAAAGGTGGAGTGAATCAATGGTGAATAGCCATGCTTTTCTGACTTTAGAAGGTTGCTTCTGGTCATAGAGATTGTACGCAATCTGAAGGAAGCAAGTTATAAGCTAAAACGAGAGAGTTGCTGGCAAAACGTGAGCCTTATGTAAATAGCAACCAAGCTTTATGCATATTCATCCATAAATGGTATGGTAAAATGGTTAATACTTCAATTCTTTGTGCAATAGATCGAGTATATGTGTAATTGCTAAATTATGTGCATATTTGCAAGTAATAGGACCTGTAATCAAGGATCTTGGAAGATTTGCTTTGGATTTTCAATGGAACTTTGCTTTGGAATGACGTATAATTCAACTTTGGCATGCCATCTTCATCTCTTCGAAACTCATAGCTCAAGTGTGATAAATTCACGCTCTTTGACGTTTTGGAAAGATGAGAGCATCATCTACAACTTTCATGTTGATCACTTGGCTTGAATAAATTGGAATTATGGTGAAAAATGGGCATAAAGTCAGGTACTTTACAAGGCCAAAATACTTGAAAATTTTACTAAGTGTTTTATCATTCAAAAACAAATGGATCATCATCTTCATGCTCTCATACCTTTTCATCCATGAATTTTTTGGACTTCACTTCCTATGACAAAGTTGTAGTATGAAGCAAGATCTTCAACTTGATCTTTGGGGCATGAAAAATGATTGCTTGGATTGGAAGTTACAAGCTTGAGAAGTTATGTACTTTGAACACACAATTTGAACACTTGGTGAAAATTTCAAAATCTTTAACTTTACCTTTTTTACAAGTTACCTCAAACTTCTTGATTTTTCTTGATCAAATTCACTCATCAACCATAACTTAATGAAATTTGACTTGAGAAGTTCATATTTGACTAAAAATTCTCAAAAGTCAAAGTTTGACTTGGAGCAGTTGACTTTTCTAGATGAATTCAAATCTTCCAATTTCAATGGAATCTTGTGATCATAATGCAACCTTCAACACATTGAGACACTTTGTGGATCATGAGATGATGATATTGAAGACCATTTGAGTTATACACATTTCCAAATACCAAACCCTAATTCCTGACTTTTCATCTGAGGAGCCAAAACCCTAATCTCTTTCAACCACTTGATGAATTCAATGATGAAACCCTAATGTGGTGAAGTTGTGGTAAAGATGATGATCACTTGATCACCATAAATGAATGATGAGCTTGAATTTCTGAGGACTAGTGATTTATCAATCCCTCGGACTCCTATCTGGTAAATACAACAAAACAGTAAAACAAGCAAAGCATACCCTTAATATCTCTACAAGGTTAGTGATGCAAGAATGAATGATGTTATGCAAATGGTGCAAATGAATGTGGGGTCCTAGGTCAAAAATTAGGGTATAACACTATCTTTCATAGAGCAAGATTATGATCATATGGATCTTGAAGGTAACAAATTTAACTTTGAAACTCATACCTTTTCGTCCATGCATTTTTTGGACTTAACTTTCTATGTTGTTGTTTTCTTTTAGCACCTCCTCTGAGAGATGTGTTGTCATCATCAAAAGGGGAGAGAATGTGGAACCTTATTTTACAATTGATATGCTTCTAACAATGACATCAACTTTTGATGATGACAATTAATGTCTTATGACAAGTAAAACATAAATGATTAAATGGATAACGATGCAAATTTAATCATTAGGATTTGATGAACTTGACTATCTGATTATGACAATCAAATGGAATGTAACTAAAGCCTCATCTCTAGCTACTCAACCAAGTGCCTACTAAAGAGAAAGCATCAAGCAAAATCTTGACGTGCTAAAAAGCCCTCCTAATTTAGTAGTGATTGAAACAATTGTAATACAAAGGAGCTTTATCGTAAAAGTGCATGGCTAAAGCGCACACACACTAAAATATATTTTCATATTGTTTTTAACAAAGAAAATATTTTCAAAAACATCTTGAAATTATGCCAGATGAATTATGAGCTCTCAAAATAGTTATAGGTGAAATTTTGACTTATCTAATAGATTAACACTTTTGTTTAATCAATTAGCTCAATTCAAAATTGAGTCCCAAACAATTAAGATAACATCTTAATGATGTGCAACAACTAGATATTTTTTCTCTTCTTTTTTTATACTTAGAATCAGTTATATTTCAAACTTCTTTATCTGAGAATGATGAGAATAAAAACTAATCATTAGATAAAATTATGTGGCTGAAATTAAAACATAATTTAAGCGAGTCATGTGCTACTCACATGCTCACTTCACTCTTATTCTCTTTTTCTCTCGTAACAAATTTTAATTAAAAAATAGTTAAATGTACCTTAAGATACTTGTTGCTAAAATAGATTTTCAAATAAGTGGATCTATTATAACAAATCTTTTATATATATATTTCAATCTAACAGTCAATTTTATCATTCGAATATCCGATAAAAATTATAAAAAAATATCATAATATTAAGTTTCACACCTTATTGTCAAAAACATTAAACCTATGCCTATTAAGAAAATTATGTTTATCTACTAAATTAATGAAGATTAGATTATAACTATGTACCACCCATGACAAATCTTGAATTTTATCATTACCTTTGTCAAAAAATCAAAATATCGACAAACACAAACAAAAGTACCAAAATCAAATCCAATCCAAGAGAGAGAAACACAAACTCTAATCTGAACCTACTTCTTGTTCTTCCTTCTTCAATCTTCATTTCACAATCCTCCATTCACCTACCCCTCACAATTTTTCCCTCAATCATCAATCAATGGTTACCAAATCTCAGGTAATTGTTATTCATCACACCCCATCATAGCTTCACTCTTCAATTCTCTTCAATCTGTTCAAAAATCCTATCTTTTTATTTGTTAAATCATCAACCCTTGAAAAAAAATTCATTTTTTTTTGGATCTTGATCTGGGTTGATTTGGTTGGGTCTGTTCATAATTTTGTGATTAGGGTTTCAGTGATTGTAAAAAAGAAAAACTTTGGTTGGTGTTAGATTGAAATAGAGGTTTAAATCTGAAAATTTGTTGGTTTTTTTAGGGTTTTTGAGGAATTTGATAGAGTATGAATTGTATAGGGAAATCTTCTGAATTAGGGTCTGGTGTTGTTTGTAATGGTGAATCTGAATCAGTAGAAAATGTAGTTTTTGGTGGAGATGTTAGATGTTGTATACAAGCTTCTCCTCCAAGGGGAAATGGGTCAAGGAATACTAGTCCGATGGGTCGAGTTGGGTCGAGGAACACGAGTCCGTCGAGGCAGATTGTTAAGACTAAACCAAGGGGTTTAGATGAAGAAACACATGCTACATTCGGTAAAGTAGTGCACGCCGATGTTCAAATGGAGGATAACATATGGGCTATGTTGCCTGAGGATTTGTTGCATGAGATCTTAGCTAGGATTCCCCCGTTTCTGATTTTTCGGCTTCGTTTGGTTTGTAAGAGATGGAATTCGTTGCTTCAGGATAGTAGTTTCTTCAAATTCCATTCTAGTGTTCCGTCGGATGGACCTTGTGTTCTTAGTTTCTGTAAGAGCTCGTTGATCCCGCAATGTTCTGTTTATAGTTTACCGCTTAAAGCTTGGTATAGAATGTCTTTCACGTTTTTGCCGCATTGGGCTATCTGGTTAGTTGGTTCTTCTGGTGGTCTTGTTTGCTTTTCCGGGTGCGAAGGATCGGTGTTTTGTATATTAGTTTGTAATCCCCTTACTCAAACATGGAGGATATTGCCGAGTATGCATTTTAATCAACAAAGGCAATTGATAATGGTTGTTGATCGATCGGATCGGTCGTTTAAAGTTATAGCGACGAATGATATATGTAGTGACAAGTCATTACCGACAGAAATTTATGACTCAAAGGAAGATCGATGGTCGGTTCATCAGACTATGCCGGCTTCTAATCTTTGTTCTTCAAAGATGGCATATTGTGATTCTAGGTTGTACTTGGAAACTCTTTCGCCGCTTGGTTTGATGATGTATAGACTAGATATAAACAGTTGGGAACATATTCCGGCTAGGTTCCCGCGATCGTTACTCGACGGTTATTTGGTTGCCGGTACTCAGAAGCGGCTTTTTCTTGTTGGAAGGATCGGTCTTTACAGCACTCTACAGAGTATAAAAATTTGGGAACTGGATCATGCCAAGATTCTGTGGGTGGAGATTAGTAGGATGCCGCCGAAGAATTTTCGTTCGTTATTGAGATTATCGGCTGAGAGATTTGAATGCTTTGGACTTGACAACTTAATCTGCTTCACATCTTATAACCAAGGGAAGGGCCTTCTATTTGACGTCGATAAAAAGATCTGGTCTTGGATCGGCGGGTCAGCTTTTCAGTCATATAACAATCAAGCTTGTTTCTATGAGCCGAGGTTTGATGCTTCTATCTACTAAGCTAGAGTCTCATGACACAATGTCAAATATCGACGATCGACCGGCACTTATAAAAGAGGTTTACCTGCGACTTTTTTACCTAACGTGATGCGGCATGATGCAGCCAGCGCGTATCTTTAACTTGAACTTCCTCAATGCTCGCAGGATTGGCAGTGTAATGTATTCGCTTAAATCTCGTCTTGAACCCTAACCTTATGTAACTTTTTCGTGTAAATGATTCTCCCCGATTTGTTTTTTGAATGGTGAAGTAAGTGATTATGAACACGATTTGCCTTGTAATTTTATCGTCTTGACACGGTTGTAGAAACCGGTTTTACTAGTTGTTGTTAATATATATTGTTGCACTACTATTCGATGCAATACAAAAGCTGATTAAAGAGTCTGTTTGGATTGACTATGTGAACTTAGTTACAGATATAATAACTTGTGAGATTGTTTGGAAGGGCTTATTGAAACTGCTTATAACATGTACTTAAGTTGTTTTTCAGAAGCACTCTAAGTTACTCTTCTAAGGAGAGATGAGGTTTCAATTATTTAGCAGAAGTTCATTCAAGTGTTTTCAGTGTCCTGTGTTTTTATATATATCTTTCATCACCTACCACTTTGGTATAAAACTAAATTGACTCTTTGGTATAAACTTACAATCATAATAAATTTGATCTTTCCGAATTTACACTTAAGTAATGATTATTTATTTTATTTAAACTACACCCTTTTTTTATCTTCATTGAGGTTTTATTCCATTAATTTTTTTTTTATGAATTAGTTGTCTAAATATTTAGGTCAATATTCTTGATACTTTTTGACCTAATATCTCAATTTTTTTTTAAAGATTAATAGATATTTTATCCTTTATTATATAGGTGAGTTTTGAAAAAAAATTCTATAATTTTTTTTTGAATTTCTCTATTATACGAAGATTCTCCTATTTTATCCTTTTACAAAACTTAATAATAAAAAATAATGTGACATAGGAGTTTTTCAAAAATCGTTAACTTGATAAGGACAAAATAAATATAAATTTTTTAAAATTACATGAAATTTAATATGATATTGATAGGTAAAATTTTTTCGAGGGATAGAATTGAGAAATCTTTATATAACAGGAGAAATTCAATTTTTTTTTATAGAGATTTTTTTTAAAACTCGTCTATATAGCAATGGTTAAAATACCTACTAATATCTTTTTTTAATTATATTTAATTAAAATTAAATCGATGTGATAACATGCAATAGTGTTAACTTCTTCATCTTTTATTTTATTTTAACTTTTTCTTAAAAAAAGAAGAAATATGATATTCGTATGTATATATAATGGTCATGAGTTTAAAATCAATCATAAAAATCCGACATTGTTAAACTTTTTTCAAGAGTTTTTAATTATCTATAATAGTTCTCACTAACTTATTATTTAGTCTTTTATATCTCAGAAATATTAATCTCAATCGGTTTATTAAGTCGAATGAAAGAAGAGCAAAATTAGTAATCGACCCTTACTAGTGAGGGGTATCTGGAAGGAGGTGCAACTCGGTTAAAGGTGTTGAACGATCATCATTATCTCTGAATAGCAACCCACTTGCGCCTCTAATCCGGATAGCACTCGTAATCGGAATTTACCTACCAAAAGTCGGTCATCAACTCGGCTCATTAATAACCGTAACAGTCGTCCGCGCATTAACTCCAGTGTTACATAGCTTTGGACACATTCCTTCAAGGTAACGGAGGCGGTTACATAGTTACGAAGCTTAAGGGTCACACCTTGATTGAAGCTCTTTAATGGTGCTGGAAGAGGACTATATAAGAGGCTCCCGTCAGAGGGATAAGCAAGACATCCATTCTTGGGACAATACACACTACTGTCATAGTTTCCAAATTTCCAAATACTCTACAAAAATCTACCCCTTGTGACTCTTTCTATACCTATAGAGAAGGTATTCATTTATTGTTCCTACGCAAGAACATTTGACGCCCACTGTGTGGGCTCGGTAAAACTATCCTATACCACACCTCAAATCACATTCAAAGTCAACTAACGGAGACCCCCAGACATGGCGCAGCTACTGGCCATGGTGGAGGCTCTCAGAAAACAAAATGAAACTCTGCAGGACAGCGTAATTGACTTGCAACAAAGAAGCCAAGGGGACGAACACCCAGAAGAGGAGCTTCTGGAGCCCCAGCCACTTTCTCAAGCTATATGTGACGACCATGTCCTTGAGAACTTCAAATCACCATCGTTCACATTATACGACGGTAAAATCGACCCGCAAGATCACATTATTACTGTTAATAATCCGATGGAAATAATAGGTCCTACCGATTCGCTGAAGTGCAAACTCATGGCAGGAACCTTCAAAGATGTGGCTCTAAGGTGGTATATGAACCATCCTCGGTTATCTGTGGAGAGCTACTCAAACCTGGCCAAAAAGATGGTGCATCATTTTCAGCCAACAGTCACTGAAAGGTCTCGACGAATACTTTGTTCAATGTCCGACAAGGACAAGAGGAATCTCTGCAAGAATACCTTGCTAGGTTCAACAAGGAGACCATCAAAGTCTCCCACCCCTATCAAGAATTATTCGTTAGGGCTTTCCAACACGGTCTCTGAGTCGGACAGTTTAATGAATCCCTAGCATAAAAGCCAGCCACCAACATGGACAAGATCATCACTAGAGCAGAGTGCTACATAAAGGGTAAAGAAAGTAACCTGGAGAAACATTCTAGGGACACCACTGAAAGAACTAAAAACAGGGAGGAGGGGTCGGGGAGAAGACAAGAATCCTCTCGACCTGCTCCGAGAGATCGACCGCGAGAACGAGCTGCTCAAAGACCAAGTCGACGACCTCTCAATTCAAATGAGGACCCGGCGCCACTGAAAACCAAGAGAAGTGTCATTCTGCAAGAAGTCAGTCATCTAAACTTAATCTTGGAAGCACTCCATCTGAAAAAAGTGAACTCCATGATGGGAATGATGTTGGAGCTTGGTGTAGTTATCACCGGCTTCGGGGACACCATACTAATGTCTGCCACCAACTAAAAAAAGAAATGGAGGCGTTGATACAGACAGGACATCTCCTGACCTATGTGAATGAAAATAGAGCCCAATCCGTTAAAAGGTATACTAAAAGGGAGGACACAAATTCTGAAGGACCTCCGAGGAAAAAGGGAAGGGCACCAAGGAAGTGCATGAGACAAAGATTACTCGTCATACACTCAACACTATCGTCGGTCGAGGAGAAACAAGCTCGGACAGGAAGAGATATATCTGAGTTGTAATGAACTTGTTCGAGGAGATAACCAAAAGTCAAGAGCAGGACTTAAACCCGATCAACTTCTCTAAATGGGACGCTTGGAAATTTTGGCTCACGAAAATGATCTGATGGTCATTAAGGTGCAAATCCTGGATTGGAGCGTAAAAAGGGTGCTAATAGACCCCAAAAGCTTAGCTAATGTAACTTACTGGGACACCTTCAATGCAATGGAGTTTGATACTGCCGAATTGCCTCTCTTCAATGGAACCTTGGTCGGATTCTCCGGGGAGCAAGTGCAAGTACTGAGACACCTTCCAGTGCTAACCACCTTTTGAAGTGGCACAAATGCCAAAGCTATCAGAGTAAGATACCTCATTGTCAACACCGCATCTCCTTATAACATCATCATTGGGAAACCATCTTTTAATTCTCTAGAAGCTTCACTCTCCACCATGTATATCACCATGAAATACCCTTTGGGAGATGGCCGGGTTGGATTAGTCAAAGGAGATTAGGGGCTGGCGAGAAAGTGTTACAAGGATAGCCTGAAGCTAAAAAATAGGAATCAACCCAGGGAATTCGGGAACTCAAACGATCTCAAAGTCAACATGGTCGACATCGACCCATGTGATGACCCACCAGAGGATAGTCTATCTCCTCACGAGGAAACAAAAAAGTCCAAATCAACAGCGTGCCCATGGAAATAACTTACATCGGTGTCAACCTGTCCCCTGAATAGGAAGAAGAGATTGTGGAGATATTGAGAGAGAATGTTGATCTATTCGCCTGTAAGCTTTCAGATATGTATGGGACAGACCCAAGCTTCATGTGTCACCACTTGGCATTGGACCCTGACACGAAGCCAATATCCCAGAAGAAACAGAAGGGAGGCGAAGAGAAGAGAAAAATTGTGAAAGAAGAAGTTGGGAAGCTGTTAAACGCTGGCTTCATCAAGGAAATCAAGTAGCCTACTTGGTTGTCCAATGTGGTAATAGTAAAAAATAAATTGGGGAAATGGCGTATATGTGTCGACTTCACCGACCTCAACAAAGCATGTCCCAAAGATCCCTACCCACTGCCGTAGATAGATCGGCTCATTGATGAGACTTTAGGATACATACTACTCAACTTTATGGATGCATGTACAAGGTAAAACCAGATCCGCATGAGCCCGACCGATGCACCAAAGACAGCTTTAATGATTGACCAAAGAAACTAGTACTACGAGGTAATTCCATTTGGCCTAAAAAATGCAGGAGCCACATACCAGAGATTGATGGATAAGGTATTTGCTATCCAAATTGGAAGAAACTTGGAGGTGTATGTAGACGACATAATTTTCAAGAACACCCTTAGGAAGTGACATGTCATGGATCTGATAGAGACGCTTGCATTAGTAAAAAGGTATTACATGAGGCTAAATCCAGACAAGTGCGTCTTTGGGGTCCAAGCTGGAAAATTCCTGGGGTTCATACTCAGAACCGGGGAATAGAAGCCAATCCTGACAAGTGTCAGGAGATTATAGACATGTGAAGCCCATCCTCAAAGTAATAAGTCCAACAGCTAACGGGAAGGCTAGCCACCTTGTCCCGTTTTATATCATGTGCAAGAGATAAGTCAATACATTTCTTTACATCCTTGATAAAGTCAGAAGAGTTCGAGTGGACAGTGGCATGTGAAGAAGCCTTTCAAGGCGTGAAGCGGTTTCTATCTTCTCCTCCCATCTTGACAAGGCCATAATAGAATTCACCCCTGATCTTATACCCGACGGTATCCAACAAAGCCATAAGCTTTTTCCTTGTGTAAGAGGGAGAAGACATGGAGAGGCAGGTGTACTTCGTTAGAAATGTCCTGAAAGGGGCAGAGACGCAATATCAAAAAATTGAAATATTGGCATTGGCATTGGTGATAACAGCTTGAAAGCTAAGACACTATTTTCAGGGACATCCGATAACAGTGAGAACCAATTACCCAATAAAATAGATATTAAAAAAGCCCGACTTGGCCGGGAGAATGGTCACCCGGACTGTTGAATTATCCGAGTACGACATTGAGTTCACCCCGAGAACAATCATCAAGTTACAAGTGCTGGCTGACTTCTTGGTTGAGTTGAGTAACCCTGTACTTGAGGAAAGTGCAAGCAGATGATCCTTCATGTAGACAACTCGTCCAACCTTAAAGGGAGCAGGGTCGGGATTGAGTTTGGAGGACCTGGAGACTTCATACTAGAATAATCTATGGGTTTTAACTCCCAAGCCATCAATAACCAGGTAGAGTTTGAAGCTCTGATAGCAGGAAGGAAGTTGGCTAAAGAAGTTGGAGTAACTCATCTTGCCATAAAAACTGATTCATAACTAATTACGGGAGACGTATAAGGGGAGAATATCAGACCAAGGATTCCTCATTATTGAAGTACCTAAATATAGCACTAGGGCTGTCAAAGGCTTTTGCAGAGTTCGAAATCAGCCATATCTCAAGTGAAGAAAATGTACGAGCAGACCTATTAGCCCGACTTGTCAGTACTAAGGTGAAACAACCGGTAGAAAAATCAACTGATAATGAAATAAATGAAGTCGCCATGAACGTTTTTTATCCCACAGGAATGGAAAGGTAAACATCAAGTAAACTTGAGAAGGGTGAAATCACGATCAAACGATCGAGAGATCGAGTAAGGGAGTTTGTTACGCGAGGGGAAGGTATTAGCACCCCACACACCCGTAGTACTCTACAGTATCCACTCTTGTTATTCTAATCTAATGGGTGTGTTCAAAGTCTATGTCTAAGGTTTAAAGTAAAAAGAAAGAGGGAATACATGTAAAGGAAAAGAGAAAACAATGTAGGGAAAATAAAGTTGTGCTCGTTCGGGCCCTACCCCAATGCCTACGTATCCCTTTTAAGGAATCAGAGCAGTCGTAGTTTGGCTTACTTGTTTTGGTGGGTTTGTATTTTTTAATTTAACAATGTTAGATTCAATCATTCCACCATTGCTCGATCTTTGGAGACTTACGACCTGTAGCGGAAAGGAACTAACATGCTCTTAGAAGAGAAAAGACGATTGGCAAAAAGAAAAGAACTGGTTGGTGTTTTTTTTACCATGAAAAAGGATTTAAAAGTATTAGATGTTTTATGCATTTACAAAGAAAAAAGATTTTTTTTTTGTTTTACATGCAAAGGATGCAAAAGAAAATAAAACATCTAAGGGAGACTATCTAAATCTAATCCCTAATGTTATCATACAATGATTGATCCTAAAGTTGAGTTTTGAAGGGAAATCTCTACCCTATGTTGACATGCTTGGATAATAATCCTAATGTCTATCTTAAATCATCATCTACAGATGAATCAAGAAGTCCTAAAGGAGAATAGCAAGGGCATATCACCTAAAACTATGTCTATCTCGAATCACCATCTATAGCTAAATCGAGAGCTCCTTATGGAACATGCCGAGGATAAATCATCTCAAAACATACACACAAGGATGAAATCAAGCAAGCAAGTCAATAAGCTCAAGAGAGCACACACGATATGTCATGAGTAGCACACGCTAACCCAAGTAGAATGCCTAACCAAGATATTAAAAATCAAGGTAGGAAAACAAATCAACAATCAAAAGGCTCAAGAGAGAATACCTATAGAAATCCTATCTAGGCTAGCATGCCAAAGAAAGTTTAACAAAACTATCCTATGGGGAACATGCAATGAGAGCGGAGTCATGATCTCAATTTCTAAATTGAGTGACTCATCGATCAACAAGAAATAAAGGAAAGAGATAAAATCCTATAGGGAGCATGCACTAAGAGGGAAGTCATGATATCAAATTCTAAATTGAGTGATTCACCGGTCAATATTCAAGGAAGCAAACACAAGCATGCCACATACAACAAATAAGGTGCAGAATGCCTGCTACAGGTCTTTAAACAACGACTTTTCCACCATGGGGCTCTCAGAACTATTTAGAAAATTGTAAATAGCGAAAGAAAAAAAAGGAGGTAGTGCAATACCAAACGGGTAATAATCTGTAGCAAGCAAGCAAAAATAAGAAACCCGAAGAACTTCGAGTAAGCTAGCAAACAAAGCAAGTCAGAAATCAGATGTCCAACATAAGCCTCGAAGCAACAGTGTGAAAACAAGCCACAAGTAATGTGCATTTAACATCATCACAAAAGTTATCCTGCATAAAAATGCAATCTAGACAAAAATACAACAAATATGTGTATTCCTTAAGTCAAGAGGATCAAAGCATAAACTTGTCCGGATTGCTTCCGTATCTCACAAATAAAGCGAAACACGAATCAAGAATAATATTGAATTCATGTTCCCCAAATAAAGTGGAATACGAATTAATATCATCATTATAATCCCTTGGTATGAGTCCTTGCACAATCAACACACATGTAAAAAATAACAAGGAAAAACTAAGCTAAAAGAGAAATCACAAAGAAAGAAAGAAGCAAAATAAAAAGGATTTTGCTGTTTTTTAGCCTGGGAACCCGGTTACAAGAACTTGGGTAACCGGTTACCCTAATTCAAGAAATCTAGAAAATCGCTACTGACTTGAGGTAACCGGTTACCAAAACTTTGAAAATTTTGGTATTTTTCTTCTGACTTAGGGTAACCGGTTACCATAACAGGGTAACCGATTACCTTGTGACCATTTAGAAATTTTTGTGAATGAAATAGATGGTAACCGGTTACCATAACCGGGTAACCACTTACCATAATTGGGTAACTGGTTACCCTCGTGTCAGAGGCAGTTTTAATAGATTTTTGAGCCTTTTCTCATGGCTTGGACATTAAATCAAACACAAAGTCTCTATATATTCAACATATGATTTTGCATGATTCAGAGCCTATATTCAAATAGTACATGAAGGATTAAGGATCAACAACTAGGCTTCATGCAACATCATCAACTTATTTTGTCAATTAAGCATTTTTATGTAAATCAACTTAATTCAATAAGCACTTAATTTAACTATCGAATTCTGGATTTACACATGACTTGTTAAATCAATTCATAATTCTAGCAATAGATCTAAGTTCTCAATTCAAAAATCAACCTAGATCTCAATTCATGCTTGATCAAAAAGTGCTTCTAAAATAATCACTTATTTCAAAAATGCTTAATTCAAGAAAACTCACTGACATAAGTGAAGAGGAGGCTTAGGTTTGAAGATCACAATGAACAGATCAACAATTGGAGAAGAATTGCTCTTGATCTTGACTTTGGATCTTGATGAAATTTTTGTTGTGTTCTTGATCAAAAAGTTGTAGAACCTTGATTTGATCTTTGAGAGAATTGAAAGAAAATGTTTTGAGTGTTTGTGAGATTCTTGTGAGTTATACACCTCTTCCTCCTTGAAAATTCAGATTTCAAGATTATATACATGGGTCAATTAGGCTTTGGATGAGGAATTGAATTGGGCCTCCATTTGACGGTGTAAGTTCGATATGTACACAAACTGCCACATCATCATCTGTATGGAATCTCGAACCGACTCCAAAATGAAAAATGAAGATCATCAAATTTATGACGCGTTGCCGACAGAATGGGCTCAATTGGATAAATGAAGAGGAAGTTATGAATTTTTGAAGTTTCTCTGACGCTGTGTCAGGCAAAATAGTTTCTTGTGCAATATTTTTATTGCATCACATGCGGAACAGACCAAAAACAAAAGCCTTTGAGTCACGATTTGATTTTGGCATATGAAGAGAAACTGTAGTAGACAAAATTTGTGAACCAACGCCTCTGGGCTCAGCTTAATATGATAAAAATTGAGTGAAAATTGAATTTTACCGTATCAAACATTTATACTAATGAATTCCGGTTCAACACAAACATGTCTTCAAAAACTCAAAATTCACGGGTCCTTTCATAATGAGTCAGCTTTTGACTTCCAAAGACGACATGAATACGACATCAAGACTGAGCTTTGGCAATCAAAACCGCATACATACGATATTCCA